TCTACCTCCTGAACTCCCAGATATCTGCAAAATTTTAAATCAGTTTCTCTCTTTTGCTCCTGAGAATTAAATAAAACAAAATGTGCTGAAACAGCAAATAAAATGACTTTAGGTTGGACGTAGGGAACACTTTTCTGTAGAAAAACAGTACTGATCATGATAAGAATATAGGCTTTGTGAGTAAAATGGGAAAATAGTGAGGTTTAAAGCAGAGGACACCTGATTTGACTTGAAAACGATCACAAAATTATTGTCTGCTGAGAGTGGTTGTGGACATTCTTAAGAAAGCAAGCAGCATTTTGCTTGAAGCTTTGTATCATCTCAAAGTCAGAGAGCTGGAATAGTGATTACTAGCATTTGCTTCTAGCCAACAGTTATAAATGACTGTCATTTTGGGGTGCCTAGTGTATGTTATGCACTAGGTTAATCTCTGACGTTCCGTGCATCCAATAGTTACAACCACCTTGAAAGGTAGATCTTATCATTCCAATTTTATGGGTAAGGCTCGGTGGAATTAAATGACTTTCCCAAGGTCTTTCAGTTAATAAGTGGCAGAGCAGAAATTCAACCCAGGTCCACCTGACGCAAAGCCCAGGCTTTTTCCACTATCCTACACCTGTAATTAACTTTGTCAAAGCAGCTGTCCCATTGGAAGCTTGAACTCCCAGTAACCTCTACATGACAAGGAACCATCACAGATCTGACTGCAAAAATTCTCATTCAACCAAGCACTGTTCCCTTTGCATTTAGTCCCCACAACTCTGCGAGAGATGGTATTATCATCTTCATTTTACAGAGGAGAAAACTTGAACACAGGGCACGTACAACCGCTCCATGACACATATGTGGCACACTTGGGCTTAACACTTGGCATTTAGCTATCTTGAGTTCTGATTTGCATTCCTTGGGCCCACAACCATTGAATGAAAAGGGCCATTTCTGCTTCACTTGTTAGGCCACAGTACTTATGAATTTCAGAATTGTTATTGTGGGGCGATTTTATGATAACTAATAAGACAACGTCATGAAATGAACCAGGAAACAAAATTACACGGCATTAAAGATTTACACAAAAGCTAATGGTCTTTATTCAGTAAAGGCTACATTAAATAAAATCCACACAAATCTCTCTTAAAACACACCTTCTAAAGAAGCTACGTTGCTTTCTTTCTGTGACCTAGGATTATGAAAAATCACTATTGTTCTAATGGAGAAAACTAAAATTTAAGAAGAGCAACACAGTTGTACCAATAACAAAATTGTGTGCTATAGGTAGATCACCACACAAACTCACCACTCAGCTTTCTCTGAGCACTTCCAGAAATCCAGCTTCATCACTGTGCATATATAGCCTTGATAAAGAAGTTTGGAAGACAGAATTGATGTTAGGTGAACCTTCTCATTTTCAGTATTCTGATTCGTTTTCCTTATTGCATTTATTGTCTTAAACTGTGAGACTATCATTCTTCTAAGCAGCTACTTTAGTTTCCTGAGTTGGAAAATAATTATATTTAACTCATTGCAAACAATGAGATACCTTCTTGTGAAAGAAAGAGGAGAACAAAGAGCAAGCTTGGGGATGCCTGTTATTGCTGTTTCCCCTGGTGCTGTCAGTATCTGACAACTCCTCCAAACTGTTTTCTGAGAAGCCTGGTCCCCTCCCCCAACACACACACACACACACACACACACACACACACACACACACACAGCACGAAATTTA